GTGATCATAACATCAATGGTGTATCCAGGAGGTTAGATGTCTGGCTTCCTGACCTTCCAAAATTCTCAAAATTTTTGCCTGCATAGCAAAAATTGGTATTTTTGGCGCCGAAGGCGCCAAAAATTTTTTGTTATAAATTCCCGACTCCCGATCCCGACTCCCGAGGTCATTTCCCGACCCGACTCCCGTTTCCCGATTCCCGAGTTTTTTCTTCTCCCGAACATCACTATCTTGTATAAGCAATTAAAATATTTTAGAAGAACAAATTTAAATATTTAGAATTTGTAAAATTAACTTAAATTGAAATGAATTTTAAGTTAACAATATTTTGTATTTTTCGAAAATTGATTAGCTTAAAAAATAAATTTAAAAAACAATTCCTCTCTAAAAATTAAAATTTTATGTTTCAATTATTTTAAAATGATAAAAGGTACTTGAATTAAAAAATTTATAAATTAAAATATTTATTTATATACTATTCAAAGATTAATTGCCTAGATACAATTTTGTTAGGAATGTCATTTGTAAAATTCCGTCATATGTCCCGGAAACCGATTCGGACGAACGATATGTCATTCGAAAGATCTCGCCGAGCTGAGTCGAACGTCACCAAAATTAGCTTGGGGACTCACATATGGGCCGAGATATAGGTCCCCGAATATCGAAAAACAACAGGGGGGACCAAGCACTTTTTTTGGGGTGAAAAATTCGAACATGCAAATTATACCTCATTCGAAAGAGCTCCTTGAGCAGAGTCGAATGACACCGAAATCGCCGTAATTGAACAAGTTTAGACAAAGTTACAACACAAAAAAACAAACAACATAAACCTATGGGGCGTCGGCGAGGCGCTTGTGCAAAACCTCGCGCTTCGCGCGAGGTTTTGCGGCACGCGCCTCGCGGGGAGTCTACGGGCGCTGGGTCTGGGTTCGTAACATAAACTTATGCCTAATTTAGCTGCGGTCGGCATTCTGGCTTCCTCCGCAGCAGCAAAAACCTGCACGTAGGCAAAGGTAAGGAGCCAAAACAAATGGTCATAACTTTGTCAAACCAAGTCGGATTTCGCTGATATTGGTCACATTCACATCTTTCGAATGAGGTATAATTTGCATGTTCGAATTTTTCACCCCAAAAAAAGTGCTTGGTCCCCCCTTTTGTTTTTCGATTTTCGGGGACCTATATCTCGGCCCATATGTGAGTCCCCAAGCTAATTTTGGTGCCGTTCGACTCAGCTCGGCGAGATCTTTCGAATGACATATCGTTCGTCCGAATCGGTTTCCGGGACATATGACGGAATTTTTCCATGTCATTTTATCAGACAATATTTATTTTTTGAGGGAATAATTTAAATAAATTTAAAATTAAGGATGAAGATGTGGTATTTAACTATAATCCAGAAATTTATTAAGAACCCTTAATTGTAAGGGAAACGTTTTTCTTTATCAAATTTATTCACAGATTTACTTCCTTCTAACTAATTTGGCTTTAGTGAAATCAAAATAAATGGAAGGAAATGGCTAGTTTAGATTTTTTGAAATGTACAAATTTTTTCCCGGAGATTGGACCTGAAATCGATATTTCGAATAATTAGTCATTTTGGGTGCGATATTCTGAGATGACAAGTCGGGGAAATCAGAGGGCAAATTTGGACCCTATCCCAAAAGAAGGGTCGAATCGTTTTTTTCCTTACTTTTTATTACTTTATAAAAATAGTCACTTTTCCTTAAAGTTGATGTGTGTTGATGTTTGCCTTATGAAAGAATGGAGAAGGACAGACAATGACAGAAGACACGAGGACAGACAAGACACGACGTGTACGTCCTTGTTTTGTCCGTCCGAGTCTGTCCGTGTTCGTCCGAGTTTTGACTGTCCGAGTTCGTAAGACAAAACATGGACGGGCTCGGACAGACAGAACACGGACGGACCCAGACAGACAAAAAACGGACAGACAAAACTCGGACGAACACGACAGACACGACACGGACGAACTCGGACAGAAAAAACACGGACAGACAAAACACGGACGAACTCGGATAGAAAGAACACGGACAGACTCGGACAGTCAAAACTCGGACGAACACGGACAGACTCGGACGGACAAAAAACACGTCCGTGTCTTGTCTGTTTGTCGTGTCTTCTGTCCGTGTCCGGTAGTCTCGTCAGAGGTTAGTTTCGTCAGAGAACATTTTCGTCAGAATCAGTTTCGTCAGAGGCCTTTTTCGTCAGAAAACAGTTTCGTCAGAGATAAGTTTCGTCAGAAGTTCTTTTCGTCAGTAAGGCTCCCTTTCTAAAAATTAATTACACGGCGGTTTTTGACTTATGCTAGGTTATTTGTTTCTTAATCGATTTGGGCAAATGAGGTGTCATTCGAAAGAGCTCTAAAAACTGAGTCGAATTAGTTATAGAAAAATATTATCAGAAATTCTGGGGCCGAGTTTCAAACTCCTGAATATTGAAAAATGGTGAAAATTGGTGTAGTGAAGCTCAGTTCGTCGAACCGATTCAACTCGTCGAGCTGAGTTGGTTGAGTTATCATTTACAAAATAGAATTTTTCATCCCAAAAATCATCTTTTCTAAGCCTTCTTCGAATGAAACCTCTTTTGTTCATATAGACCCAAAAACAAAAAATCTATTATAAGTAGAGACCGGATTTTTATGCAAATGCATATTTTTTTGCAAACTTGTCATGATGTATAATGCACAAAAAACACTATTTCCGCATGTTTTGAAAACTCTAGAGGGGGTTTCTATTTGCATATAATGCATATTTTTGCATATTTCGGACTTTGCTGCATAATGCATATTTTACTGCATATTTTGAGGTTTTTGGGGAAAATATCACGAAAATTGCCCAAAATCCTGCCAAAAAGTGAAAATTTAGTAAAAATTTAGGAAAAAATTTGTAAAAATTACAAATTTTTAAAAAAAATTTTTTGTTTAATGGGCGCGCCCAAAAAATGTCTCAAACCCATAATGTCTCACGCCCAAAACGTCCCATCCAAAATGTCCCACCACCAAAACGTCTCATCTCAAAATGTCCAATAGGTTAAAAATACTCATTTGTCGAACTATACATTTAAAATAGGAGTAATCTTAATAAAAAATAGGCGTTTTAATGTTTTTGATAAAAAAAAATTAAAAATTTTAGATAAAAATTGCATTTTTGATGCATAAATTCGTGAATATTTTGGTTTATTTGCATATTTTCGTGCATATTTTGCCAATTTTTTATGCATATTATAGTGCATATTTTGCATTTTTTAATGCATAAAAATCCGGTCTCTAATTATAAGTCAAAAACCGCCGTGTAATTAATTTTTAGAAAGGGAGCCTTACTGACGAAAAGAACTTCTGACGAAACTTATCTCTGACGAAACTGTTTTCTGACGAAAAAGGCCTCTGACGAAACTGATTCTGACGAAAATGTTCTCTGACGAAACTAACCTCTGACGAGACTACCGGACACGGACAGAAGACACGACAAACAGACAAGACACGGACGTGTTTTTTGTCCGTCCGAGTCTGTCCGTGTTCGTCCGAGTTTTGACTGTCCGAGTCTGTCCGTGTTCTTTCTATCCGAGTTCGTCCGTGTTTTGTCTGTCCGTGTTTTTTCTGTCCGAGTTCGTCCGTGTCGTGTCTGTCGTGTTCGTCCGAGTTTTGTCTGTCCGTTTTTTGTCTGTCTGGGTCCGTCCGTGTTCTGTCTGTCCGAGCCCGCCCATCCATGTTTTGTCTTACGAACTCGGACAGTCAAAACTCGGACGAACACGGACAGACTCGGACGGACAAAACAAGGACGTACACGTCGTGTCTTGTCTGTCCTCGTGTCTTCTGTCATTGTCTGTCCTTCTCCATTCTTTCTTAAGGCAAACATCAACACATCAACTTTAAAGAAAATTGACCATTTTTATAAAGAAATAAAAAGTAAGGAAAAAAACGATTCGACCCTTCTTTTGGGATAGGGCCCAAATTTGTATGCTTATTTTTTCCATCTCTACTAATCATGATTGAATGTCGTTAAATTTTTAACAAATTTGTTACAAACTTATTCAATAATAAAATAGAAATAAAATAGAAAAAGACTTAGTTGTGAATAAGATGAACAATTTATTATTTACAAATTCAGAAAAAATATTTTTCAAAATTGATAATTTAAATCGAAAAAGAATAATGAAAGAAAAAATTAATAAAAAATTTTTTAATAAAATTCTTTAAGAATTGAGTGTTTTGAAATGTCATATTTAAAAGGTTTTGACTCCAAATTATTTCCGAAATTAGCTTTAATTGAACAACATTTCAGCCAAACATACACTGCGGTGCATATGTTTATGCACACTTGTTTTTTATTCATAAGTTTATGCACACTGATTCAAAAAATACGTTCTATATAGCAATCGAAAGCTCTATCTGTATCTCAGTTGACATGTTTCAGCGTTTTTCGAAATTCTGACATTTTCGAAAACTTTTCGACCGGTCTAACAGGTACTACATTTTCAACTTTTCGAAGAAATTTTTTTGAGGTCTGTAAAAAATATATGTGATTCTCCTCTAGATTCTACATAAGATACAAAAAAATCATCCAAATCGGTCAAGATTTGACCGAGTTATGAATTTTTGAAAATCGAAAAAACACCATATTTTTGCCATTTTTCGTCAAAAGCTCGTGTTTTTTCGATTTTCAAAAATTCATAACTCGGTCGGATCTCGGCCGATTTGGATGATTTTTTTGTATTGTATGTAGAATCAGGAGAAGAATCACATATATTTTTTACAGACTTCAAAAAAATTTTTCCGAAAAGTTGAAAATGTAGTACCTGTTAGACCGGTCGAAAAGTTTTCGAAAATGTCAGAATTTCGAAAAACGCTGAAACATGTCAACTGAGATACAGATAGAGCTTTCGATTGCTATATAGAACGTATTTTTTGAATCAGTGTGCATAAACTTATGAATAAAAAACAAGTGTGCATAAACATATGCACCGCAGTGTATGGTTTATACGAGTCAGAAATGTCCTTCAATAATATTCCTTTACCTTTAAAATTAAATTTAAAAAATATGTATTTGCAAAATAATTATTAAATAATTACCAATTTGTATTCCATTTTGTGTAAAGAAAACATAAGGAAATTTATAAGTCATTTTATTAGTTGGCGGATAAATTAATCCACAACCGAAAATATCATCATTATTCCATGAAATATTTTCAAGCTCGAATGATTGAAATGATTCACAATTCTCGTTACAAATTGTAGCAAACTTATTGTTAAAAGTATACCCAATATGTTTATTTGTACTACAATTTTTAAACCCAATATTCATATATGTCCAGCAACTATTTAATTCCCTTTCAAGTTTACATTTAACTTCAAAATAATATAAAGAATAATTGAGAGAATTTTCTGGATTTTCAAATGAATTTTCTGCATAAATATAAGGACATTTATCATAACCTAAAAATATTTTTAAAAATCCAAAATTGAAAAATTTACTACCTATCCATCCCAAACAATTAATATATTTAATAATTTCATCATTAACTAAATTCACAAATCCATTTCCTTCAATACAATTACCAATAGGATTGTTTGTATTTATACAATTATTTTTACAACATTCGTATTCACTATCAATTTCTTTCCATTTATTTTTAATTTTAATCAAATTCTTTTTGAAAAATTAAAATTAATAATTTATTTAAAATTAAAACCTACCACAAATTTACGACAATTTAAATTATTTATTTTAATTAAATCACCAATTCTTTTCTCAAATAAATCATTTGCCTTAATATATAAATTAATTTAAAAAATATTTTTAATTTAAAATTCAAAAAAGTTTTCCTATATAATAATTAGGGAACGGATTTATATGGACTATTAGTCGAAAAATATGGACATATAATATGGACTAAAAATCTTAAAATATGGACTGAAATATGGACTAAAATCCAAAATATGGAACAAATATGGGCCTAAAATTGAAAATTTTTAACGCAAAATTTCCATTTTTAAATAGAAAAATGTTAATTAAGTTAAGTTTGATGCACAATACATATTACAAATAAATGAATTTCTAGTAATTATTTTGTTTCTAAAAATACTTCGGATAATATTTGAGGCGAAAATTTTTTGAAAAATTTTTGTCAAAAAATTTTTTTAAAAATTTTTCCAAAAAATTTCTATAAAAAATTTTTTTGACCAAAAAAATTTCAAAAATTTGTAAATTTTGTCCAATTTTTGGCAAAATTTTGCAAAAAACGACAAAATATGGACGAAATATGGAAAATATGGACGGATCGCAAAAATATGGAAAAATATGGATTGATAACTCATTATCTGTCTTATCAACATATGCTAAAACGCGCAATCGAATATCTCTTTAGGCGTCAATCTAAAAAATTTTTGCTTTATAATTTCTATAGATAAAGGACTGCTCTACATGCCAAAAAAATTTTGTTTAATTCCTGCAATCTGTTCTAATGTTATAGGCAAAATGCCTCAAAAAAAGGTGCGACCTGGTGCAATAATTTTTCTCACTTTCCTTTAACCTTATCTCAAAGTAGAATAGGAATAATTCTAAAAGATTTTTATATCTTATTGTCCATTTAATTCTCTATAATTTCATCTTTATTTGATCTCATTATCTTTAATTTAAATAAAGTTATGCCAAAAATAGCGTGCCCGGTTTCTTTTGGGTCACCCTGTAAATACACCTTCAAGACTGAAAATGCATTTACAATCGAAGTGTACTTCCTCCCGCTTCCATATTTAAAAAAAAACAGGGGAAGGTATATTAAATTTTCTATCTAATTTCTATTGAGAAATAATCCGAAAGTCAACGGAAAATAAATATTTTTATTTACCTTTTTAATTTCTTCCTTCAAATAAACATCGTTTTCAGCCTTTAATTTTTTATTATTTTCTTCAATTAATTTTTGGAAATTTTGTTTGATTTCTTCAATTTCATTTTTATGGTCAGAATTTATTTTTTTAATTTTCTAAAATTATTTTTAAAAAATATTCAACAAAAAACATCCAAACTTTATCCATTTCCTTCAATTCATTTTCAAGAAAATTATTTTTTCTTTTAAGAGTAACCATCTCTTTCTTCTCTTCCTCAAATTTTTTTTGAATATTGTCACTATTAGTTTTAAATTTTTCAAAATCATCTCCCTCTTTTTCAACCAAAATCCAATCAGAATTTGGTGATAATCCTTCTTGAGCCATTTTTAGAAGTTCCTAATGTTTAATAAAATTAAAATAATAATTTAATTAAATTTGCAAAATTGTGGAGAATTCAAAAAGAAAAATATAAAAATTATTAAGGAACGGAAGCACAAGACACATTTGATCGACTATAACTTTATCAGTCTTGAACTAATCCAAGCGAATATTATATCAATCAAAAGCCCCTCGATAAGTGATAAACTCGAAGAATTAATTCTGATTATTCACTAAAAAGTTATAACTTGATAAATTTGAAAAACACAACATTATTGTCGTATTAGGTTATAACTTATTAATGAAGGAAGTTAAAAAATATAAAAATACAGTGTGTTAAGAAATTATAACCCCCCTTGAATTTTTTGAGTTTCTTACCTTCCCGATGTCGGATTGTTCTGAAATTTCTGTAGTAGTGTTGTAATGTATATTAAATAATATTTACAAAATATCTTTAAAAATTTTTGATCTCAGACTTTTTTTTAACGTTTTTTCCAAAAAATCAGTGTTAATAAATTATAACCCCCCTTTAAAAAAATTTTTTTTAACGCATGCAATATCTCTACAAAAATTTTTCTGAACAGGTCTACCAATATAGATAAGAAATACAAAAGAAATGAAGTTCCTATGTATTCCCATCATCGAGATCTCGAAATCCGAAAATCAACGGAAAACCGGGGTAGACGTCTTTAAAAAATATTTTCGTCCCCTTACATATGAAATAAAAATTTTATTTTAGGCTTATCTGAAAGCCCTTTAAATTTGCTACAAGATAGCATTAATTTTATTTTCAGAAAAAAATTCGCCTATAAGAAACTATGAGTTTAATTTATAGGTTAAATTTCCATCAATTTTTGGGGGCGTTTGAGTGATTTCTATGACTTGAAAATTTATCACTTTGTTTCTCGACGGTAAATTTTTTCTGTTTAATGAGATAAAAACTATCTTGTAGTAAATTTCAAGGGCTTTCAGCTAAGCCTAAAATAAAATTTTTATTTCATCTGTAAGGGGACGAAAATATTTTTTAAAGACGCCTTCCCCGGTTTTCCGTTGATTTTCGGATTTCGAGATCTCGATGATGGGAATACATAGGAACTTCATTTCTTTTGTATTTCTTATCTATATTGGTAGACCTGTTCAGAAAAATTTTTGTAGAGATATTCCATGCGTTAAAAAAATTTTTTTAAAGGGGGGTTATAATTTATTAACACTGATTTTTTGGAAAAAACGTCCAAAAAAAGTCTGAGATCAGAAATTTTTAAAGATATTTTGTAAATATTATTTAATATACATTACAACACTACTACAGAAATTTCAGAACAATCCGACATCGGGAAGGTAAGAAACTCAAAAAATTCAAGGGGGGTTATAATTTCTTAACACACTGTAGTCCCAAAAAAAGCAAGCCAAACTAGTATTAGAAATATAAACGGAAATAAAAAAAGAAAAGTTGTAGGTCAAAAAATCCAATTGAAAAGCAAGCCAAGCAGAAAATAAAGGTTTATTGTAGTAGTTATTGCAAAATATGTAAGTGAATGTACACTCAGTTAGAGTAGGTCGAGGTCGAGGTTTTTTTGAAAAAACCGAGACCGAGGATCACCGAGGCTAGAAAAGCCGAGATCGAGGTCGAGGGGCAAATTTTGGCCGAGGTCCGAGGCCGAGGTTCGAGGATAACCGAGGTTTTTAAAAATTTCTATAAAACTTCAAAATCTAATTAAATTTACCAAATTTTATTAAAAATACACTAAACCCTTATCAAATTCATCTTTTTAATCTTATCAGACCAGTAGGCAGTCAATAAATTTGGCGGATCGGATATCCTGATCCAAAAAATGGCCGGATATTCAGAATTTTCGTTCGGAATTTTTATTAATTTTTAATATTCAAATTTTATTCAGAATTTTTTTAATATTCAGAATTTAATTCAAATTTTAATATTCAGAATTTTTAATATTCAGAATTTTTAATATTCATTAATTTTTTTCCACGAATTTTCGTGGAAAAAATCCCGCAATGAAATTAGCAATTTTGATTTTTAAAATCCGCAGACGCAATCCACAATCCAGCGCCGCAAAAGAAATTTTTTGAATTTTGGAAGGCCAATAAGACCCAGATTTCTTCCTTTTTTACCAAGGGAGGCAAAAATTTTGAAAATTTTTTTTTTTGAAAATTTTGGAAACCAAGAAGCTAGATCGTTTCCATTTATAGTGTCTGAAATTTCAAAAAATTGCGTGAAAATTGCGTAAAAATCGTAAAAATCCGCAGCCGCAACACGCAAATCAAAAACATGCAAAAAAGACTTGTAAAACTCCCGATTGGAAAATTTCCTTATGAAAACTCCAGATTTTCAGGAATCGGGACGGCTGTTCCATGATATATACATAGAGCTGGAACTGAGCCGGCCGTATCTTTTGAATTAATCCGTCCTGGAAATAACCAAGTTAATAAGCGATAATTTCTCATTTCAGCGCCGCAGGCGAAAATTTTGAGAATTTTGGAAGGCTAATAAGCTTAAATTCTTCTTTTTCTAGCGCCGCAGGCAAAATTTTGAGAATTTTTTGATGGAGAATGGGCAGAATTCTTTTATTTTTGATAAAAAAAGTCATCTTTAGGGGTGTATATTTAGCCTCGGTCCTCGCCGAGGTTCTGGGCGAGGACCGAGACCGAGGTTCCGAGGCCCGAGGTCAGCAAAATCGAGGTCGAGGTTTGAAAATGGGCGAGGACCTCGGCCTCGGCCTCGGCGAGGCCTCGACCTCGACCTACTCTACACTCAGTCAGAAAACTATAAACGCAGGTCAAAATTTTGTCTAAAACTTATTTTTCTGCCATGTATATTTTCTAACTTTATTATCAATGTTTAAAATAAAAATTTAAATATGTATATGTACATGCCAGAAAGATAGGGTTTAGGATGAAATTTTGACCTGCGTTTATAGTTTTCTGACGGGTTCCGGAATTTTGGTCACCACGATTTTTCGGAACTTTGGTCACTAATTTTTTTGGAATTTTGGTCACCAGCGGAATTTTGGTCACCAAGTCAAAAAACGGAATATTGGACACTGAATTTTGGTCACCACTAGGAATTTTGGTCACCAAATGGAAAAAAATAATCTTATCTAAAACTGATATCAAAGTGATAAAAATGATTTTTCAACCCCCATTTGATCAATTTCAATGTTTGTCACTTTCCCGGCTGATCACTCTCTCGGTTGATCACTCTCGATCACTCTCCCGGATGATTGATTAACTGTGAGAGTGATCAACATTGAAATTGATCAACTGGGAGTTGAAAAACAATTTTATATCACTTTGATATCACTTTTAGATAAGATTCTTTTTTTCCGTTTGGTGACCAAAATTCCTATTGGTGACCAAAATTTCAGTGCCCAATATTCCGTTTTTTGATTTAGTGACCAAAATTCCGCTGGTGACCAAAATTCCAAAAAAATTGGTGACCAAAGTTCCGAAAAATCGTGGTGACCGAAATTCCGGTGACCAAAATTCCGTACACCTTTCTGACAGAGTGTCCTATATTTATGTGAACAGAGCTAATTTAATT